ACAGACAGCACCCCCTTCTGTGCACCTGTGTCTCCGTGAGGTGGTGAGGGATGGGGGCCACATGTGCCCACATTGGGGGGGGGGGGTGTCACAACACATACAGACGGAGAACTCTTAGTCATGTCAACCCTCCAAGGGGCAAGTGAAGGGTCCTGACTCATAAACTCTCGGTCAGGGACTGTAGGGTGATTGCCCCCTAAGTGGCCCCCTTATCGGCCTGCTCCACAGAGCCGCCAGGCCACTCATCCCCTCACAGTGTCCAGACCTTACTGGACTGCCTCTGTCTCACCCTTGTCTTCCGCTGCATTTCCCCAGCTCAGCCCAGAGCCCTCCCAGAGCTGTCCTCAGCTCCCATTCCCAGATCCAGCACAGCCTGGCCCGATCTGGCTTACCTTGGGATCCACGGCCTTTATCATTAGCCCAAAATAAACCAAGAGCACAAAACCACAACCTCTAGAATTTCAGCTTTTCCTCCTGGACCTGCGCTCAGCTGCGCCTGCTGCCCGGAGGGCTCCGCCCCATTGCCTCCCTGTGACAAAGAGCGCATTCAGGACCTGAGTCTGAAGGCAGCAGCTCAGTGTTAGGAGCCCCTGGGGAAAGCCGACCTGCTTTTCAGAGTGCAGTGCACTGGCAACCTCTGCACACCAGCCAGTGCTTGGGGTTGGGGGTGGGGGGTGGGGGGGTGCCTATGAGGGGCGTGGAGGCAGCTTCCAAGCTGAAACCATCTTTGATCTAAAACCAAGGCACCCAGGTGCCCACCCAGCTCCCACTGGCCTTTATCCCAAGACTCCTGGATGTTTCATTTTGCTATCTCCAGTCCTACACTCTCCCCAGAAGGGTGGGTGTCATTGTAGAACCTAGAACATCTGGCCCTAGTAGCTGTCAAGACTTAAAATCAGGATGAGACAGGATGACAGCAGAGGCACAGTTGCTGGAGCCTTTTCCTCGCTGGCCAGCTCCAGGGGACCCTCCCCGTCTGCATTGCTGAGCCATGAGAGTAAACAGTGCCATGTTATCAGAGCATTAACCACAGAAGAGACCCGCCCTATGGAGAAGGACATCATGCTCAATAAAGGGGAGGGCAGCAGAAAAGAGGAAGGCCCTGGGCAAGTTGGACTGACACCGTGGCTGCAACAACGGGCTCGAGCTTAAGAACCATTGTGAGGGTGGCACAAGACCGGGCAGTATTTTGTTTAGCTGTGCCCAGGGTCACTATGAATCAGAAAAGCAGACAGAACTGTTGGCCCCCACCCTCCTCTCAGCAGCGAGGTCCTTCTTAGCCCAGTAGCAGGCCCAGTATGTGTCAACGCCCCTTAGAACTGACAGCAGGAGGACAGGGACCTGCCCCTTCACTGTCCCTTCCCCAGGCGGAAGGTTTCTGTGCCTGGCACGCAGCAGCCATGTGTGAATGAGTATTTTGGGAGCATCTCTGCTGATGTGTTAAGTTGATACAGTGATTCTCCAAGTCTAAGCATCAGTACATTACTCATTGCACCAAGCATTTCTGGCATCCCCAAAACACAGCCTAGGGTTACTGACAGCTGGCTGGGTCGTCCTTATCTACTGGAGATGAAGTGTAAGGGACACATTTCTTGCTTAGGAGGAGGATAAAGGGCATTCCTTTAACTGCATGGATCACCTTGATGCATAGCTTTCAGGTCACATTAATGATTGACCAAGATCAATTTCCACTTGGCTCCTCAGTGATGTCTCTAACAGCCGGAAATACTGTTTTATTTCTAGATCCAAACGATAAGTTCGAGTTACAGTGGAACTAATATCTCTTTGACTCTAATCCCCTGGGTTGTATCTTCTTGGACAAATACCTACATTTTTTTCCCCAGCTAAGGTTTGAGGTAAGACTCACCTAACACAGGCAACATTTGCTTTGATCCCATGTGAAAATCCTTGGGTGTGGGGTGACCCCCACACATGGTCCTTGTGGTAGAGCCTTTGATCTGGATTAAAAACCCAACCAGACTCTCCAGTCAAAGGTACAAGCTGTACCTGGTGTGCTGTCATGAGAAGGAAATGGTTCTGTTCATCTGGACTCTGTTGGCTACTCCACAAAACTTGTCGCTAAGCTCAGAGCTCCGGTAGCTAGGTGCAGGCAGCTCCACGGGGCTAACTTGCTCACCATTTCTCTCCGTGTACTCAAGCTTCCATTCTGGCTGCTGGTATGAAAGCCACTCTCGGCTTCCCAATCTGCAACCTTGACCTTGACCTCTCGGTACTGTTACTACCACGAGGAGCCCACCTAAGGTCCACTTCTGGGTCTCAGTGGGGACTGTGTGAGTAAAATTACCCTGGAGGACAAACATGATGTGGCTTTCAAAGGTGTCCTAAGAGCTGACTGGCAAGTCTCTCTCCTCATGGCTGTGGTCAGGGGTGGAAACCTTCAGCTATCAGGGGAGAAGTAAGAAGAACCGGACATTTAAGCATTTTTAGTATAACCCTAGTGTTCTAAAACTTGCTGGCTGACATACTGGAAAGTTCAGAGAATTCTTAAAAAACAAAACAAAACTGGGACCAATAATGAGAGTAGTGATACCAGGAGGGTAAGGGGACGGTGGGGGGTAGAAAGGGGAAACCAATCAGAATGATCACATACAACCCCCTCCCAGGGGGACAAACAACAGAAACGTGGGTGAAGGGAGACAAGGGTTAGTGTAAGATGAAAAAAAAATTATAAATTATCAAGGGTTCATGGGGGGTGGGGTGGGAAATGAGCTGATACCAAGGGCTCAAGTTGAAAGAAACTTTTGAAAATGATGATGGTAACACATGTATAAATATGTTTGACACAATGGATGGATGGATGGATTGTGATAAGAGCTGTATGAGCCCCCAATAAAATGATTTTTTTTAAATGGTCAAAAAGAGTCATTGTACCTGGGCTTAAGTGACCTCCAAGGTTCTCCTTCAGTGACTGCTCATCAGATGAGATGCTGAAGACCTTGCCACCATCAGTAAAGGAAACCCGAAGTCTTTTCCTTGATGGGACATAGCACCTTCCTTCCAATTAGGGTAATTTCCCACCTCTCACCCAAATCTCCACTGGCTTCCCCCTTCCTGTCTGCACTGCTGAAGACATGCCCACCAGTGGGGGTGAGGTGGGGGTGGGGCCTAAGCAGTCCCGGTTTCTGAGGAGTGAGTGGGCAGCCCCACATCGAGGAGCTGCAGGGGAAGGAAGAAAGTCTTTATTTCTTCTCCTGGACTCTAAAAGCAGAAACCACGCTGTGTGTGGGCACCGACAATATCATCACTTCCCGATGACCACACACCTGGCATTGTCTGAGCAACCTGTGTGGATGCACTGCTCCTGCGTTGATAGGGTTTCTTCTGTTGGCGCTCCAAGGCAGAGCTTGGCATTTCTGACCCATCCTCCATGAATAACCAGCAGGAGGAAGGTCAGCCTGAGTCCCAGGTCCCTCTGCACCATTTTTTCAAGGGAGGAGCACCTTTCCCTTCTAGAAGGCCCAATGCTCCCATTGCAGTTGAGCACAGCAAGCCTCAAAAAGTAGAAGGTGGGAAGGGCTGTGGGTCAACCTTAAGCAGAATCAATCTTTTTTTTTTTTTTTCAGAATCAATCTTTTATCAAACCATACATTTCCTGTTTGAAGATGAAAAACCCAGATGGGATTCCGTAATAGTAGGGCCCAAGGTGAGCTAGCCTGCACCCCACCTTCGAGCCTCCTTCAGATGAGGGGGAGGCCTGTGATTTCTAGGCTCAGGGTTCAGGAATTACAAAGGCAACTAAAGAAGAACAAGCCCTGGGTGGTCCAAATGTCAGAAACAATCAGAGATGGATGCCCCAGGCAGGTGGGAGCCCAGAATTCTGCATTTATGTCCTCCCCAGGTCGTTCAAATGGGCACGGGTGGTTTGTGCGCACGCGCACGTGTGTGTGTGTGTGTGTGATGATCAGCACCTTTGCTGTTTATTTTCTGATGAAGCCGTCTCTGTGGGGCCGGCTTGCTTAGGAGGGAGTGTCATGTTGTCCTTGGTGGACTGTGGTCTGTTTACTTTCCTCAGAGACAGAGGAAGGTCGGAAGCTGGCACCAAGGATCACTCAGAAAGCTTCTAGCCTAAGGGTCTGCGGCAGCTGGGGTCACCCTTACAGGAGCCACCGGAGGTCCCCTGGTCAGCCACTCCTCCGCAGAGAGGACTGTGGACCTTGTCAATGTCAGTTTCATTGAACCCAAGTAGAAAGAGAGAGAGAGCGATTGAGATTCAGCCTTCTCTGCACCCCCACATTCCCCAGGAGCCAAACGTGCCTGGGCGGTGGGGGCTGCACTGTGCTCTAGCACAGTGTCCAGACGATGGCTGATGTCTGCGTGCATGAGAGCTGGAACTGACGGGGGTGGGGATGTAGGCGGAGCTCGGCGTGCCCGAGAGCTGGAGCTGACCTGGGAGCGGGTGCTCACCGCGCCCCCTTACTGTTCTGGGCCCACTCCAGCCCTTCTCCCGCCATTGGTTCGTCCCCTCCTTGGGCCTGGCTCTGCACCCCTCTTCCCCCTCGCTTGGGCTTCCTGGACTCACCACCACTCCTTCCTGCGCCCCGCGCCCGGCCCAGCCTTCCCGCCCCTTGCACTCCCATCGGGTCCCAACCAGTCCC